TCCAAATATAACTCAAAGATTTCAAATTCAGCCTCCAGGTACGCGTGGTTCCCGCGTACGGTCCCGCGAGATCATCGGCGGGAAAATGGCTAATTCGGGAACTAGCAAAGCTGCGAAGCTGGAATTTTCAGGGAATGTTCCTAACCTATGTACGACTTAAGTTCATCAAATTCATCCCCCAGGCGTGCGTGGTTCCCGCGTACGGCCCCGTGAGATTTTTCGGCAGGGAAATGGCTAACTCGAGAATTAGTAAAGATGGGAGGCTGAAATTTTCAGGGAATGTTCCCAATCCACTTACGACTTAAACCTATCGAATTCACCCCCCAGGAGTGCGTGGTTCTTGCGCACGGGCACTTAAATTTTTGCGGGAAATTACTAATTGAACGGCTCGGTCATTTTCAAAAAACGACCGCTAAACGGATATTATTTATATTTTTTAATGCAAAATTTACGATGAGTTACGGTATTGAGAGCACAAGGTAGGTGTAAAGAAACAACCGCTCATGCAGTTAACCTAATTATTTCAAGTTTGGTGCAAAAACGCATGATCGCACCGGCTCGCTGGTGCGTTCCAGCCTGGGTTGGAATTTGCATATAGGCAAAAACGCATAAATAGCATCACGAAATTATGAAAGCCTGAACCATGAAATAATTCACAAAACAAAATCAACAAAGCATCGCCAATATAAGCATTCAGTGATTATGAAGTGCGACACTCTCTGCTATCTGCATGCCTCTTCGGTGAATTTTTAGTGGACGAACGTGAAGTCTCTTCTGTAGGCTCTTCCATCTCTGTAGGAGCATCTTCCGAGTTATCGCTGAGTTCTACTGCAAATGTTAGTGCCATTGGTATTTTACACAATACTTAGAATTATCTTTAGAGTAATGCTCCTCAACGGACTGCGCAAAGAACTAAAACGGGACAAGGTGCAAAGGCGAAAAAAGACAATAAACCAACATTTTTTAAAGCTTGATACGACACTGCAGTACGATTCGCTTCGTATTTCTTTTTCGCACGCTTCTGTAGAATGATCTGCTGAGGCTTCTGAGTTGCCCAATCTTCGATTCACTTCTCGGGTATCCTCACCATCCTTGAAAATATGTATAAGATGCTTGTCACTGTATGCAGCGACCACTGTGGGAATTGATGTTACTAAACTATTACAGTGAGTTCACAACCCTCGCCAGGTTCTTTTACTGTATGTCCCCAATCACCTTTCAATTTTATCCACGATCACAATGACATCCTACACGCCAATCGTCCGACCGTTTTTA